TTGGGAAAAAGACGTAGCCACGCCATCAAACAGCGAGGATGCGAGTCACTAGCCACACTTTCAGCATCCACGCTTTCCAGTAACTATACTTCTCATTGTACCTGATTGGGGGAGCTGATGGAGAGGGTTCTATATCTACGTAACTAGTCATAGAGCATGAGGCATGGAGCGTGGCCAGTCTCGGCAGGAATCCCCCCCAGATATTGGGCCAAACAGCCCTTTCCCTCTCCCACCCCCTAAAGTCTCCCCTTTCCTCTGACGTTTTACAAGAACACAAGACAGAGAGAATCCCACTATCAACCCCCTGATGAAGGCTAGTAACAAGAACAGGTCTCGAAAGACAGGGGCGTAAACTTCAGGGCCCATTGCTCATTTGCCCATACACTGTTAAACACACAGTCTACTGTGGCAACATATGATGCAGAGAACACAGACTACCATGACATTAAGTGCCACATGTAGATACCTCATTGTGGGCTCCTACTCAGTTTCCCTGACTTAAAAAGCCTCCTACCCCACAATGGCAAACACAGAACACCTAAGAGCTCACAAAAAAAAAGAGTAGATCTCCAGTGGTACAGAAATGTTTGCATTTGATGAAGTGTGCTGCGTCACACTATTGATTTTGGATAGGCCAAGAGAGCAATGTCATACTGGAATTCTGTGATGTAACAACCTCTGATCTCTCCTAACAAAACCAAAAGAGGAATTTGTTATACCCCCTAACCTCCCCTTTCTTTCTTCTGTATCCCCAAAAAACAATAACAATTGTCAAATTGAACAAAAGTTTCCATCTTTATTCAATTGAAATGTTGGATTTCATACAATTTGGGTTCCATACACTCGACGACCAAACACCGCTATACGCATTCGCGGGAACAAGATGACTGCTACCTCGTGTTCGTCCATAGGAACAGCGGCCACCCAGCCGATCACTTACAACGTTGTGATTTCTAAGTGTTAAGTAGGTCAAAAGGGTCAATTGGCAACACACGACTCCCCTGGGTGGTCCAACTGTTCGAGAGTTTGTTCGGTATACGAACACCACAATTATAATCCGTTCAATGGACTTCAATTACCGAACCAGCTAGGTATACAATCCAAAATAAGGGTAAATAATCCAAGTAGGTGGCTGGTTCCACCACAATTACTTTAATCATAGATCAGTTTATTCAGTCTGTAGTCATCTGCTGTTTCACTTGTGGCACACTGGAATAATATAGCTGTCGCATTACTTAAAAAACCCTATGGCAAGTCTTAAAGAAGTGGTAGAAGGAAACACAGCCAGTCAAACAGAATTAATTGATTAGGAGATATACGGTATTAGCTGCCAGTCAGTGCCAACCAAGAGGTTAGACTTGGTTAAACAAAAGAAAAATGATCTGCCTTTTTAAACCACAAGTAAAACAAAGAAAAAAGAAAATAAGAAAATATGCAGATAAGATTGACTATGCATATCAAATTATAAAGGAAAATCTAATTATCAGAGCACTACATATGTGTTTAATATCTACTGTGATCGTTTTCACGAGTGCAAGCAGTAACATCATTGATGAACTTCAGAGATGCCAGACTTACATAAGTAAACTGTTTTCTAAATTACTTTTATTGTAAGTAGACTTGATTACAAGCAAGAAACACTTATCATTAAATAGGTCAGAGATCCAAATGTATATCAACCCTAATTAGCAGATGAAACATGTGCCTCTATAAATGGAAACATCTGATCTGGTATTTAAAGTTTTCTAAATCTGAATTTAAAATTTCATAGTTTGTGCACTGTGACGAGACCAATCTCATAGAAACATAGAAACATAGAATGTGACGGCAGATAAGAACCATTCGGCCCATCTAGTCTGCCCAATTTTCTAAAAACTTTCATTAGTCCCTAGCCTTATCTTATAGTTAGGATAGCCTTATGCCTATCCCATGCATGCTTAAACTCCTTTACTGTGTTAACCTCTACCACTTCAGCTGGAAGGCTATTCCATGCATCCACTACCCTCTCAGTAAAGTAATACTTCCTGATATTATTTTTAAACCTTTGTCCCTCTAATTTAAGACTATGTCCTCTTGTTGTGGTAGTTTCTCGCCACATTGCATTGGAGAAGCTTGGTTGCTCGCTTGTTGCCTTTGAAATATGGCCCCATGTTAAAAGCCTTCTTTTTCCCCTGCAGAAAAGGCTTATTCGTGCCTTTCTGCTCGGTGTTCGGTAGATTCAATCTACCGAACTAACACACGAATGACTGGACCACCTGGGAGCTGGAGTGTGTCGGCAATTAACCTCCCAGAAGCTATGGTTAACCGCAGCTTAATTGACGAATGCTGGGTGGCCGCCATTCGTATACCGAACACGAGGTTGCAGCCATTTTAAACACACGAACGCACAGCGGTGTTCGACACCCAACTCATAGAACTGAAAACGGATACATTTTGGTGCGAACACCACTGAAGCAGCCGAACTCCCTTCTTGTTCGGTAGAAGTGTACGAACGGCCCTATATTCGAAAGTTTGTACCTGAATACACCATACCCCAGATAGCCATCCCGTGGAGTCTATTCGTATGGAGAAAAGACTTTGAACACTTTGTATTGGACTGTGTGCATAAGATCTGAGCGCTATTCGGTACTTTTGTGCTCTCAGATCCCAGCTATCTGGGGATGGGTTGCAAGAATATATTTTGTGTGATAAATGTAATATTGTGTATTTTATTGTGTTTTAGTATTTTACTGTAACCATGTGGGTAATGGAGTTTTGCCTCTGTCCTTGGAGATAATTGGATTACTTCCCAATTATCTCCAGGATAGAGGGGAGGGATTGTAATGTATTGGAGGAGTGTTTTAACCATGTCTGCCTGTGATTGGTCATTGTACTATCTGTGTCCCAGTCTCCCATTTGGTCCCCTAGGGGAGTGTCCACCAGGTGGGAGACATGCATAAATACTGGGCAGGTAGCCCTCATTAAACAGACCACTGCTTGACCCTCAACACGGAGCCTTGTCTCGTCTTTGGGGGGATTTACTGTATGCTGATAGAGACTGATTGCTAGGAATGTAAGCCGCTTGGGTGCTTTTCCTAGTCGTCTGCTAGCAGCTATTCGTGAGGTTCCGGTTCGGGAGTTTGGTGTTCTGCAGTAGCTGTGCCTGTAAATCTGGAAGGGGAAGATCTCCTAAATTGGTGGCAGCAGTGGGATCATTCCTACAGCCAGAAGGACAGCTACAGGAAACACCATTTCTTTGGATTTTACAAATTGAGGGCAACGTATGTCTTGAGTACAGCGACCCTGACAGCACCAGGATGGAACCAGCAGTGGAGTACAGATACTCTCTGAGAGAGTATGGCCGTATGGTGTGGTTCCGGCTAAGCTTCTTCGGACCTGATCCACTGGAGAGATCTGTGCAGTTCGTGAGGAACTCAGTGTTCGCGACTCTGCTAGACAGGGCAGAGAGAGAGGGCCAGCTGGCACGTTGGGAGGAACTCCAGCGGCAGGTACAGTTACGGGAAGAGGAGAGCACAGTCTCCATTCCCCAGCGGCAGTGTGATATGCAGGGAATTGGGAGCCCAGTCTCCATTCCCCAGTGGCAGTGTGATATGCAGGGAATTGAGAGCCCAGTCTCCATTCCTCAGCAGCAGAGTGAAGTGCAGGGAATTGGGAGCCCAGTCTCCATTGCCCAGCGGCAGTGAGATTTATTGGGAATTGAGAGCCCAAGCTCCATTCCCCAGCGGCAGGCTGAGTTACAGGGGACAGAGATAGTTGCTTCTGTCCCCCAGCAGCGGAGTGAATTGCAGGGAATTGGGAGCCCAAGCTCCATTCCCCAGCGGCAGGCTGAGTTACAGGGGACAGAGATAGTTGCTCCTGTCCCCCAGCAGCAGAGTGAATTGCAGGGAATTGGGAGCCCAAGCTCCATTCCCCAGAGGCAGGCTGAGTTACAGGGGACAGAGATAGTTGCTCCTGTCCCTCAGCAGCAGAGTGAATTGCAGGGAATTGGGAGCCCAAGCTCCATTCCCCAGCGGGAGATACAGCAGGGAATTGGGAGCCCAAGCTCCATTCCACAGCAGCAGTACGAGTTATTGGGAATTGGGAGCCCAGTCTCCATTCCCCAGCGGCAGTATGATTTATTGGGAATTGGGAGCCCAATCTCCATTCCCCAGCGGCAGAGTGTCCTACAGGGAACAGAGAGCTCAGTCTCCTTTCCCCAGCAGCAGGACCCTGTATTGGGAGCAGAGACAGTCGGTCTCCCTTCCCCCCCCCCCCACGGCTAGAAGTATGTATGGGAGAGGAGCGGCAGCTTAACGTACCAGAGGGGGACAGTAAACCCCACAATCGTGCAGATGGGACCGTGATCTCTGCACTTACAGCACAGGGGGTAGGGACGGTCGGTTCTGCCCCCCAGCGACAGGGCTGTTTAACCAAAGGGGAGACAGTCGGTCTCCCCCTCCGGCAGCAGAGCTGTGTATCCAAAGGGGAGACAGTCGGTCTCCCCATCCACCAACCAGGCTCCAACCAGGCTACTTCCTTGGTAGCGCTGGCACTCAGCAACCCACCAAGTCAGCTTACCAGTCACCCACACAGCCGTGGTGAGGCACCTGGACAAAGTTCTCCTCTACCCAGGTGTAGTAACCATTTATTGTGGGTGGGCTGTATTACTGATTGTGTGTTGTGGGTGGGCTGCTGGACTAACAAGGGCACTGACCGGCAGGAAGTCAGATACCCTGTTAGTCTGTTTGGAAAACAAGTTTCTTTTCCTGGCACTATAGTGGTCCTTTAAGTAAAATAATAAAACTTGTTAAAAAAAAATATATTTAATATATTATAATAGTTAAAGGGTAACTCAAACCCTAAGACTTCTTTTTTTTTTTTTTAAAGGGACACTACAGTCAGCAGAATAGCTTATCTCTGCAGTCTTAGCACTGTAGACGCTGCCTTTTCAGAAAAAATACAGTGTTTACATTGCTGCCTAGGAACACCACTAGAGGCAGGTACTCTGATGGCCACATGAGCTGCTTCCTAGTTCAGTGCTGCCCATTGTGCAACACCTATGTTCAACGTTTCCATAGAGATGCGATGAATCAATGCATCTGTATGAGGAGATGCTGATTGGCGTATATTCTTAAAAATGAGACCAAGGATCACACACACATGGGATTGAATTTCTAAACAGTGATTCATGGCAAGCTGACAACCAACTCGCATAAATGAAGACAAAATAGTTGAGTCAAGAAAAAGATCTCACACTCAGCTGAAGTGTCACTCAAAATGTAAGAAAAAAATTGTGATGTTGAAAGAAATACAGAATAAGAGGGTTTTCTTGTTTTATCTAGAGAATTCGACTTACATTTTAAAAGTAAGTTTAAAAGTTATTAATTTATCCTTAGATTGCTGCTTAGTGAATAAGACCCCTAATTAATTTTACCTTCCTAAACAAAAAAAGCAAACAAACAAAAAAAAAAAAAACAATGAAGACTTCTCAGGGCACTGATTGTCTGCCAAAAGCCACATACAAATTTCCTGCTGTTTGCAATGCTATAAAAAAATGCAAAGAGATACAGCCTACTTCTAACTATACCATAACAAGCCAAATGCCAGGTGTATAATCATTTCCGATTCATACTTCCTGATCTCAGCCTACGTCAGACCTTTCTAGCCCGTTCATCGGTCATCACAGGAAGCCTACATCAGCATACGGAAACCAAAGAAATGTTAATATTTCTTGGATGTTTTAAAGAATTGATTTAACCAGTTTGCGCCATTCCATGTCGTCCTCCAAACACCGGGCTTCAAAGACGCTACAAAAGCATGAAATGTAATGCACACACCAGGGAGATGGAAGTATCATTCAATACCTGGGGATCCCCTTCATCAGCTCGGGCCATATTTAGCTATGCTGTATGCAATGTTCAAAGTGGTTGCTGCATATAAGCCCTTTAAATCCATTTAAATCACAACGGCCAAAAGAAAATGCTCAGCCACAGTGATTCTTTGTCTATTTCCCCCAGAATAGACGTTGCAATCTGCCCAGCAGCGGTCACGGTGTTATAGGCAGGGACAGCAAGCAGAAGCTGGGAAATCTCCCTTTTATTCTGCTATCACACAGTAGAGAGCTCTCACAGAGTGCTCTGTACTGTGGGCCCTAAGAAATACCTCTGTTCATATCAGTATTGACATCAGCAGAGGGAATCCCTCAGCATTAGGATTAGAACACAGTGAAAGCAAAAACAGACTTCAAACAACAAATGATTGATGATGATGGTAAAAGCAAATAATCATACCTTTATTCCTGTATATGACATGGCTTGAACGGGCAGAAGGGACCACTGGATGTATGCTCTACCATATTTCATACCTTAATGCAGTGGTAGTCAACCTTTTTCTACCTACCGCCCACTAATGCATCTTTCTTGATGGAAAAATGTCCATACCGCCCACCAGTTTTCGCGCAAGTGCAGAATATTTTTTTTAGTAAGGAGGGTGTTTTTTAAAAAATAAATGTACATACATTTATCTTTTTATTTCTACTTAATGCATGTGTATAATGTTTTTAACTTTATAAAGTTTAATGAGAAAACAAAGTAAATTGAAATTACCTTTACTAATGATTAATGAGATCCTTGAGGTTGATGCTGCAAGACTAAATATTTGATATCTGGTTCGATTTTCGTAAGGAACAAACGAAGGTCTCCTCTTTCGGTGATATTCAGACAACTTCTCTGTTTGCACATAATATGATTTCTCATCTGTGCGTCAGCTCCCCTCCTCTCCCTCCTCAATTCCTCTCCCCACCTTTTTTTTCCCTTTTTTCTATTTTTTAACCTTACTTATAGCAATGCCCAGTAGGAAGGCTGAGCTAGGTAGCCCACTTACTATTACTTAGCCCACTATAAGAGACAGGCACACATACAAGAAACACATACACAAGACACATACAAAGACACATACATACAAACAGACAGGCACACACACACAATCGACACATACAAACAGACAGGCACACATACAGACACACACACACACAAGACACATACATACAAACAGACAGGCACACAGACAAACACACACATACAGACACAAGACACACACACATACAGACACAAGACACATACATACAAAGTCACATACACACAACACATACATAGAAAGACAAGACACACATACAAAGACACATACACAGACGACATACATACAAAGACACACACACACACAAAAGACATACATACACACAAACAAACACACACAAAATATTTTAGTCACCCTCCTGTTTCCTACCTTTTAGGCGCAGGAGGGTGACTTTCCCTGGGTTCCAGTGGTGGCTCAGGTGGATGGGAGTCAGAGTTCCCACTCTGACTCCCTCTGCTTCCTCCCGCGCGGTCTGTGTGTTAGCTGGGAGGAGTGACGTGCAGTCACTTCCTCCCAGCGTGTGATGTAATAGCATGGGAGCCCGGTAGCGCTGTTAAAGTGCCCAGCGCTGACCGGGCCCCCTTACAATCCACATCCATCGGGTGGCCCTGACAGCATGGGCCACCGATGGACCCCTTGGACCAGCGCTGACCGGGCCCCCTTACAATCCACATCCATCGGGTGGCCCTGACAGCATGGGCCACCGATGGACCCCTTGGACAGCGGCCCCGGTGGTTTGCCGTGCAGGCCGGGGCCGCAAATGGTGATGGCGGTACCCAGTTGCAGGGGTACCGCTGGCTCGCACCCACTCTCCCGCCCACCCAATCTCTGAAATTGAGGAAATCCCTACCGCCCACCTGGAATCCTGAAATGCCCACTAGTGGGCGGTAGGGACCAGGTTGACGACCCATGACTTAATGGTACGTCAAGGTAAGGTTAGGGTTGTGCGGCAAGGGTTAATGTTGTTTTAGGGTTAGAGTTTAAGGTTATATATTCTTGAGCAGTAGGCCCATTTATTGTTTTCAGCTTCTAGAATTTCAGATAATAATAATAATAGCTGGTATTTATATAGCGCCTTTCTCCCAGTGGGACTCAAAGCGCTTTTCAGCGCACACTCTTGGAATTAACCAAATCAGCAGATGAATAATAATTGATGGTACTCATTTTATTGACCTCGGAAGGATGAAGGATTGACACTGCCGGGATAGATAGATATATGTGTGTGTGTATTATTATTATTTTTTTTTTCAATTTGAAAATTTTTATTGTTTTACATTGTTATAAAACTTGGGGTACAGAAAAGAAAGGGATATGGGGGGAAGGAATGGGTCAAAAAGAAAAAACACAAAACGTTCCATGTCTTCAGGTTACATCACTAGTCACACATTGTATTTCTTACATCATACATTATATATCGTGTTTCATACACTACAAGTCGTACATCATAGATTATATAGCGTGCACCATACATTATGCATTATACGTGTGGTTCTGCTCTAGTTTCTGGGCGCTTGGGTGTGAGGTGGCCTGCTTCGGCGCTGGCTATGTGATTTGGTGTTACCCTTTCCCATAAGGGTTCTCGTGGTCTTTTTGGGGTATCACCTGCTCTAATGTTGTTGCGTATTGTATGTTGTTACTTCTAGGTTCCCCATCTCCTAGTTCCTTGTTGGTTGTCCTTTTCCTGTGCTCTCCTTGTGCCCACTCACGGTAATGGACCCACTGTTTGTTCTCTTCCCACCTCTCATTGGCTAGGTCTATATGTTTTCTTGGTCCAATGTGTTTAAGTGCCATTTTTTCGTATTGCCAATTAATGTTTATTTGTTGTGTTAGGGTTTCCTTGGATGGAATTTGTGGCGATTTCCATTCTCTAGCTATTAGGGTTACTGCTGATATTAAGATCTGGAACAGCAGGGACTCCTCTGTTTTGGTCATAACATAAATAGTATGCATTGTTGTAGGGTGAGTTGCCACTGCCTACCCAGCAGGTCACCTGCTAGTTCCTCTACTATCTTCCAAAAATGTTTAATCTCCGTGCACGACCATCATATGTGGCTCATAGAGCCTCCGGTTATCCCGCATCTCCAGCATGTGTTTGGAGAGTTTGGGTATATCCTGGTCAAATGCTCGGGTACCATGTACCATCTGTAGTGTAGTTTCCTTATTGTTTCGAGATGTGTTGTGCAGCGTGTATTACCTACGTGTATTTTAAATGCTCTGTGCCATTGCTCTTTGTCTATGGTTTGTCCCAGTTCCTTGTGCCAAGCTGTTTGGAATGTCATGTCTGGGTTCGCCTCGTCATCTGTGAGTATACTGTAGATCGTGGAGATTGTTTTTTTAGGGGGTTTGTTAGTTAGGCAAAATTGTTCTATGGAGTGTTTGTTGGGTGTCACCTGGTTATTTATTTGTACCCCTGTGAGCAGCGATTTCAGTTGTAGGTAGGAGAACAGAGCCTTGTTGGGGATGTCGTGTCGCGCTTGGAGATCTGGGAATGGCAACAGGTTGCCTTCGTGGTATAAGTGTTTGAGCTTAGTGCAGCCTGCCTCGTTCCATTTTTTTATGTCAAATGTTGGGATCCCTGCCGCTATGCACGATATTGGGGCGTCCTCTAGGAGTGTTCCTTCATTCCCTTCCTTCATGCGGATTTCGTCCCAGAAGTGTAGTGTTAGCTGTGTGGTCATTAGGGGTTGTACCTGCTGGGGCCGGAGTTTTTTCGGGAGCCACAAGAGCTCCCTTAGAGATGGGCTGTTTGTCCAATGGGCCTCTATTTGGGTCCATTGTGGCGCTTCTCCTCCCACTGTTGCTGCCTTGATTGCCGTTAGTTGTGTTGCCCTATAGTATTCTTGAATGTTTGGCAGTCCCAGACCCCCGTGTATGGTTGGTTTTTGTAGTATTTTTGTGGCCACCCTTGGTCTCTTGTTGGCCCATATAAATCTAATTAGTGTTTTTTGGAAGGAGATCAGGTACGCATTTGGCAGTTTTATGGGGAGAGTTCTCAGGAGATACTGGAATTTCGGGAGTGTCAACATTTTTATCGCTGTGATTCTCCCCACCCATGACAGGTATTTCCCCTCCCATATCCATAGGGTGGTTTGCGTTTCCTTCATAAGTTTGTTATAATTGAGGTCTAGTAATTTTTCAGTGCATGATGGGATGCGGATGCCCAGGTAAGTTAAGTGGTCCACTCGCCAGTCGAAGGGGAAAGGGGTTTTGAGTCTATCGAGTGATTCCCCTGGTATCCCCATTCCCATGGCTTGTGTCTTTGTGACATTTAATTTGTAGTAGGAGTGTTTCCCGTATTCCGTAATGG